ATGTCTGCAATTGCATTAAAACTGTGCCAACTAGATATAGTAGAAATATGGTACAGTTCAGATATTTTTCTGAGAAAAAAATGTGAAAACTGTGGATCATTTTCCTCCGGCTTAATTGTTATTCTCTATTTGGTGATGGTCTATCACATGAAATTCAAACTATGTGCATAGAAGTTTGCGGATGTGACTTTGAATACTTGTAAGGCACTGTACAAAGGTTTGCATAATTTGTCAATCACTTTTCAGCTGTGCTGTGTCTTTATGATAAGCATTAGCAGCTGATATCGTTTCTTTTCAGTCATAATCAAGTACCTTTCAAATGCATGTCACCTTTAAATAAAACATGTTCCTGCTCAGACTCGGCAGCCACAGAGATCCTGACGAGGTTCTCTGAGATCAAATGTTTGATGTTTAAAAGCAGCGTGAATAAAAAAGGTGGAATTTTCTCCTTCACCCTGAAGAAAAATTCCTCCAGTTCCCGTATTTATGGTAATGCTTATAGAAGCAGGCTTTGCTGCGGTAGTCAATTATCACCATGGCTGGACTTCCTCACAAATAGCCTTTGAAATGCTTAAAGTGCATTGTAGAAAGCAGTCAAGGACAAGTACTTTATTGCTTTTTGATGTTCTTCTTTCTCACACTGCATACGTAGATCGCTGTGTTTCTGCTTGCAATCTGCTGCAGGTTTTGACGTCCATGTTCAAATTCAAGACGCCTCTGCTGCTCAAGAGTTGCATGGCGGGGATTACTTCTGCATGGTGGACCACAGCTCAAGCAAGGTCTCCAGCATCTATACAGAGGCGTGATGCTACTACTAATACTACTCAGTCGTCGTGGGTTTGCACTGTTTCGTATTCTTTTATATTTAAATCAAATGATTCACAATAAGAACTTATGGGAGAATGTACATGAGCCTTCAGAAATTTCGTGTTTTCTTAATCCTTTCCTACACAGTTTGGATATAACATAAGGTACTTCAATACTTTCAGGTGGCATTTTGCACAATGTCAATACTGAATCAAAGCAAAGTATGCAAGAGATGATTTATTACAGTTTTTTCTTAGAAACGTGTCTTGGTAACTATAGTAACAAGACAACCTTTATTATTTGACAGCAGTGTCATACATATTACTTGTTGCTTGAATAGAGTAGTGTTCAACGAGCGCTCCTGTGTTTAGACAATGAGGGAAATTACTGTTTGGGATCACACCAGTGACTTTTAATGCTTTATTACTGCAAATTATTTAAACTTGACAACATGCTTGGCCTTCAATGAAAGCATTATGTAATGCTTCACATTTTTGGACCTCTTCTCTTCCATTTTATGCCCGTATGGTGAGAGCAGGTACATTGTTATAATAATTAATTGTAATGATAGTCTCTTATTTCCAGTTTGTATTTTAACAAATGATCAAAATTCATATTATTTCCTTGTAAGTTCCACAGGATCGGATAAGAGAAGTAAGTAATTTGTACTCATATGTTGTTTTTTTTAATAAACTCTGCATGGAGATTTTAACCTAATTACTCGTGACTCATTTCTTTTTTTTAACTGATGGACATTTTTATATTGTTTTATTCAGTGAGGAGGGGATGGTCAGAAGAAGTGTCTTGAGTGCAATAGCTTGGAGATTTAACACACCCGGACCTGAAAGAGGGATTTAAAACCTGCTGCAGCAAGCCTGATCTGGCTGTAAAACACCACCATGAAAGACAGCTTGTGAAATAAACTGTAATTGAAAACACTAAAATAGCGCCAGCACTCATATAGATTCTAAAATATCTGCTGTGACTTGTTGTTTACTCTGCTGCATACGCCCACTTCTCCAAATAGGGGTTTCTATTCTTTATATGACGGTCATAGGTCACACCTTTGTTGTTGTTGTATGAATTAGCTTTTAGCTGCAATCCCTTAATGCCGCTGTCAAAAAACTTTGCTCTGACGACATAGTCTGTCACGCCTCTCACTCTGTAAGTCTGTAGTAAGTTTTTTTCACAAAATGGTATTTGCTCTTAAAAGGTCACTTCAAGAAAGTGTTACAGTTTCAAACACTGGTTTTAAAAAAAATGCCCAAACTGCATCAGTGGACAAACCTTCTCTTCATCATAACCAACATCCACAATCAATATTGGTACCTCTGCTGTGGTATGCCATTGTCCCTCAGGTTCTGGTTGTTTCTTCCCCGATGCAAGAGATGTTCAGAATACAACTCAGGACCAATTTGCACATCTTTAATTGATTCTGTGTGTCCCCAGACTGCTATTCAAGAACAGTAAAAATTTGGCTTGCATGTGCAGGTAGATGGATGTTGTTTTTTTATTTTATAGCCAACGATTTTTGCAGATAGATTAAATTCTTTTTTTAAGAATGTTTGGTTAAATGCAAAGTATTTATCTTTCATAAGCCAGGTTACTTGCTTTCATTTAAATTTTATAGAAAATAGGTCCAGAAACATCCAGGGACTTCTTAAAAGCAGATTCTGGCACGTCTCTTCATCAAACCTGCCTAAATATAGCGAATGTTTTAGAAGAAAGGCTGATCCGTGTCCTCCTCTTGTTGCTCAGCAATGAAAAAAAACTTTCTGGACTAAAATAGAAACCAATAGACCCCCCCAAAAAATCAGTAAACTGTATGTACTCCCTTTAGAAAGGTAAATTTATGAAACCCTCTTCATGTTTTGCACCTACATTTATTTTCACACTTCTTTGTTACTTGCATTAAAATATTGAATATTTAGTTTAGCAATGGGCAGACAAAATTTAAAAGTTATATTTATATTTTGAATGTTTCTTTAAATTATTTTTACAATCCATTAATGATTTCATCTTGACACTTTGGACATTACTGTCCTGAAACAACTATGTTTCAGCAGCTGAAACTCAAAATGCATGTTTCATTTCATAAATGTGTGTTTCAGAATTATTTATCTGATTTAAAACCAATAAAAAGGCTCAATATGTTTTATTTGTGTTGATTGGTTTCATTATGTCTAGGTTTCCATGGCTCAAAAATACAATACCCTTTAAGAAATCTGAAATATTTTTGCCACCCTCTCTACTTTTCTTACGTGGAAATCCATCTGCATGGGTCCAGTTGGACTCAGTTTTCACATCCACTTAGTTAAAACTAAAAGGACAAACAGTTTTACTCAAATCTTTTACCAAGAGTGTTATTCCTCAGATATATTTCACTAGTTGCTTAGCAACAACAACGACAGCTTTTCCAAAAAGCATCTGTTTAGTAAGTGCTAATCAAATAAAGTCTTATGCTGTAGACACAGGTGGTTGGTAAGGCTTTGTAGTCAGTATAAAGCTGCTAAACAATGTGTCTTTGTTTGATTGCTACTGTCAGCTTAAAAGTTTTTCATGAATATTTAGCCCCACTTGTGCAACCCGCCCAGATTGGCTTACTTTTAGCATCCATATGTGCAAATAGATATTTTGAGAGGATCTGAATATACTGGCAAATAAATCATAGAGGTGAATATTTTCTTTCAAGGACAAAATATGCAAGTTTTGGAGCAAAGTACAAGTGAAAATCTGGACCCACAGTGCTATCAATCAGGAAAATTACCTTTAACTGGAGAGATTGAATAAAATTACAAAATTGGTGAAAGTAATAGCTTTCCTCCTTCCCAACAAAGGAAAAAGAAAGAATGGGTTTACCATGTCCTAATTGGTTGTTATTAAATAGGAATAAACTTTTTGTTTTAATATTTAATTTATGTCTCGTGAAGAACTATTCATTCAAAAGAAATAGGAAGGAAAACTAATATTTACGAATCACAAACTCGGGCTTGGAGACAGCACAACAACACCATGCAGCTTCACTTTTCTAAATAATAACAAACTACGCAATTAGAAATGAGTCATCTGTGAAATTGATGAGCTCATGTGTAAAAATTACACATGAGCTCTTAAATATGTTTGAATGCTGTGGCAAACTCTAGAAATATTTTGCATTATGTAGTCTTATTGTGTCCTATAATCGGAGGTGTACTTAAGAAAGAGGGGCACTGCTTCAACATATTCTGACTCAAGGAAAAGTAAAAATAGTCAACCAATAAATAACTCACAAAGTAGTAAAATAGTATTCCGTGAAAAGACTACTTGAGTACTGAGTAAATGATCAAAATGTCTGATTTAATATTTTAAAATGATGTCATCATAAAAAAAAACAGATATGTGAAAATTCTGGCATTTTAAAGATTAAAATGAAAAAGAAGTGTAAACAAATAATTCTAAAATAACTCATTCAAACAGAACAAACAATTTTCTATAACAATATGAACCTTTGAAATCAATACTTAGAGAAGAGGATAACTTCCAATGAAAATATTTACTGTTTATTTTGTTTTTGTTTTTTTATCTAAAAATGGGCCAGGACATTAAATAGATAGGAAATAACCTTAGAAAAACAAAGCTTGTGTCCAAACAAGAGGCCTCACTTTAAATCTAGATACATTTCTGGTTAAAACATATTTGTTTGTTGAAGTTAGAGTTATGTCAATGTTACAATATCCAGAAATTTTACTCAAGTAAGATTCTTCCTAATATTCCCCAAGTAAAAGTAAAAAAAAAAAAAGTATGGTGAAGTAAAACTTCTCCTACAAGTGCTTTGTAGTAAATGTGAGTAAATGTCTTCAATGAAACACATTTACTCAAGTAAATGTAATTGAGTAAATATACATATGCACAAAGCAAAAATAACGTGAATCCTTATCAGAAAGGCCAAATCATAGTCATAGCATAGTAGGAAAAATGACAACAGAAAAAATCTTATGCCACCCAAAAATTTCTTATGCACATATTTTAGATTTTTTTTTCTTCATGTTTTAAAATATATTGAACGTGTTTCAATGGCCAAATCATTGAAACATATTCGTACAGAAGGGGAAAACGTCTGTATTTTTGAGGAAATACATTTCATTAAAGGAATATATAGATATATTTAGCCTATGTGTGCGCTTAAATCCCCTCCCACCTGCCTGGTAAGGTTGCGCGCAGCCGATGAGTTTTATAGCAACTGTTGCCCAGTGAGGCAACGCCATAGTCCCCGTAGTCCTGGCGACTGTAACCCACCAACAACAACCTCTCGCTCCATCATTACCACCTCCTCCACCATCCTCATCTTCATCAACCAGTCCGCAGCTCAGGTTTGCTTCAAACTAATTTTTTTTGTTTGTTTGTGTGTTTGTTAACCAGAACGCAACTGGTTTGTCCCGTCGCTGCTTTTTGAAGGAGATTTAAAAGCGCCTCTGGTTTGTGTTTTGTCTGCTGCTGGATAATAGCTGGGGTAGTTTGCTAGCCGAGGGTGTTTCTTTGTAACGTGTTAGCCTGCTTGCTAAGATTCCCTGTGGATACTTACTGTGGTGGGAGAGCAGAAACTACATTTGAGAGCTTTAATATAGCATTTAGTTAGAGAGAGGAGTATTTTGTAGGTGTATATTCCCGTTTGAAGTTGCCATGCTGAGTGGTAGCAGCTTTCTCAAGCTAGTGAATGATGCTAACTGGTCAGCTGGAGCAGGAGCAGGTGTCTGTTGTTGCTAGGCTGCTAACGCCAGCGATGCCTTCCTCACAATGCTTGTTGGGTATTCCATTTTGGGGGCTAATGTGGCGGTGAGATTGCAAGTTGGAGTTTCGAGTGGTTTGTGTTTTGTTAACCGGGCGAAATCACCACGGCGATTAGCGAAGGGAAAGTGCTGTGAGCTAACCCTGCTCTGACTAACTGGTTGACAATAGCTAAGCCATTACTTTCCCTTTTGTCTTAGGCACCAAGATAGCTTCGCTAGCTCTCCATCTGCCCTCTTTGTGGAATCAGATGGCTGTGATAAGCTTTGTGATAACACAGGGCTAAGTTGTGCAATGGAACATAAGCCCTAATTAATTCACATTTCTCCATATTTATCGTTCAGTGAATAATTTATCTATCCCGAGTTGCATAAATTACAAATAGCCTGTTTAACGTCATTATTGCCTTGTAGTTTATCATGAAATCTGACTTGAATTGATGCGGATTTTCTTGATATGTGTATAAATGCATACTTCTTTACAATTTTGGAAATTAGCCTTCGCTTTTGAAAAGAGTGTAGGCTAAACATCCTATCACAGTTTATCCCAGATTAATCTGAATTGCCACAAATCCCAGGTTTTAGTAAGGTTACATTTAAGCCTGTCAAAATGTCAAAGATGAATAAAAATTGCATAAATAACGGTTTAGTTCATTTAATAATAAAGATGCACCAATCAGTCAACTGGAATTGGCCAATTTTCCCTTCACCAGTTCTTACTGGTGATCAGGAAGAGATATACTACTAAAAAGTCAGATTTATTTGTTTTTTTTATAGTATTTATTCAATTTCTTTATTCTTTTACATATTCACTACACATCAGTCTACAGGATGTACTCTGATGCCATTTACTTGTGTTTAATAAAACACAAATCAAGGTTATGGAAAATGTTTTGCATAAAAGGGAAGGATCTCATAATTAGCACATTTTGTGTTGGATTTCAAACTACCACAGCTATTAAAACATCTGTAGCACTTTTGAATTATTATTATTATTTTTATTTTATTTTATTTTGCCTTTTCTATGCTTTTGTCCTTAAAAAAAATCAAAACGGATCAAAATCTGAATCGGTGGATCAGAACAGGAAAAAAAAGGAAACAGGTATACGACAGGAAATGGTTGATCAGTTCATTTCCGCTTTATAGTCTTACAAATGTGTTTTTTCCCTTTTTTCTGACTTAAAGATTAAAAAAATTTTAAATGTTGCATACAACTGGTTTAAGTCAGCTATTGGACTTACTGTTCTCAAACTAAACTTTGTTAAATAAACAAATTTTCTCTTTCTAGTCGCCCAAAATCCAAGGGCTATTTTCCCCCTAAACATACAGTAAACCAGTTCCACAGAAACTGCATTATGTTGGGGGAAAAAAAAAAAAAAAAAAAAAAAACATATATACCAATCTTTAAATTCAAGCAAATGTGATTCATGACCTAGTTTGAAAACTCTGAACATATGTAGACCTAGAATGATAAATATCAAAATTAAACACCATTTGACCAAGACGTCTCTGTTATTCTCAAAGCAGAATAGTACATTTTATTTAAGTTTCCCTAACTTTTAGTGTTAAATTCTGAGCCAGTTTCTCTTTTTCTCTTATCTCGTTATTTTAATAGTAATACTTTTATTGATTGATTGACTTATTTTAGAGCAGGTTTCTTAGTGTTGCATCACATTTACTCTTGCCTGGGTCCACTGGGTCTATTGTTCACCTGTTCAACCCTCTGATTCCCATTAGGAAGGAAAACAGGTGTGCGTGCATGCGCGCACATGCGAGCGCGTGCGTGTGTGTGCGTGTGTGTGCGTGTGTGTGTGTGTGTGTGTGTGTTGCAAGATGAGGGGAAGGAAAGAGAGAGCAGGTGCACCTCCACTGGCGTGGGACTCCAGACCGTCCCAATTTATCTTAATCTGTCCTCGACAGAACAGAAGAGCTATTTAACAGTAAACAAAGAACAAGTAGTTATGATCTGAGGTGTGAGTCGTGTTGCTGCTCATTGTTGGAGAAACACCTGTTTAGTCGGACCTAATGGCACAGGAGCCGTTTATAACCGAATCAAAAAAAAAAAAAGTCCAAGGAAATGATGTTTATTTGTTGACGCCTATCGAAGCTAAATTGGGTCGCCCCTCCGCCCCTCTTGACCACATACACAAACAAAACAGGATGTTAGGAACTGCCAGTTATCAGATCATGTTACCACTTACCTGTAGTCCAGGAGGGCAGAAATAGTACCATGCCACCTGCTGCCTGGATCCTGTTGCATTTCCAATCACTTAAAGAGGGCCTGATTAATTCAATTATTCCACCAGCCATTTTCATGGCCTTCCTGCATGTTTGCTTTGTAATTTTCCACAGCCTTCCTTATGGATATGTAAACTGTTCATTTAAGAGAAGAAAAGAAAAAAATATATGTCTATATGAACCATCTGTAGAACCTGCAGTGACGAGCACGCATCTATTTAAAGGTCTTTTCTTTCTTGCCAATTCTTTTTTTTATTTTATTTTTTTTATTTTTTGCGTTTTATTCCACACACCAAGTCTAATTTAAATCTGTAAGATATGTCTTGCGCTGTGACGTATACCGATGCAAAGTTTCTTGCATTAAAATCGGCATTAGAGCGCCTCGCCTCGTAACTCACTTCCAGGTTTCTTTTGTCATTTTAAACCCCCATCAAAACAAACACTCCTTTGCATACCCTCCACCTCTTCGGCTCCAAATTACATCTCCCTCCACCTGCTTCGCTGCTATACAAACACCTGATCAAGTCACTGTGAGTTGGAGGGGGGGGGGGGAGGAAGGAAAATCCATCTCTGATGCACCTAGTCTTGTTCACGTACTTGCATGTCTTTGGCGCTACTCATTACACTCCAACTTTGTCATGCATGATCATTACTTAGGCAAATTGTAGTCCTTTGTATTTTCTGGTAGCTGCGACTGTGAACCTTTTGTGCTTCACGATTCTTTTTCTTTTTTTTTCTTTCTTTTTTTTTGGGCTGGGATGTAAGCAGGAGAAATTGAAGGGAGGAAACTCAGGGCAAAATGCTGCACTCCTTGGTGGCTTTTGTTCCTCTGAGTCTTTGTAGGGCTTGCACTTGCTCAGTGGAGCACGGCATTTAAGTGGGCCACAAGGGAGTGCCTGAATGGTGTGGCAGGAGGTGTGTGTGCCTGTGTGTGTGCGTGTCTTTGTGAAGGGGGTTGAGGTGAGGCAACAAGGGTGTGCTGTGATGTAGGGGCTCCTTTTCTCAATTAGATGGACTCGGCTGGGGCCATGTACTTTAGATTTCAAACTACACTTTGGAATATGATTCCAATTTTTTTCTTCCTTTTATTCCTTTTTTTTTTTTTTTTTTTGTATTAAGATGTCGAAGGTTATGCGTTTCAGGTTTTTTTTTTAAACGTATCGTATCTCTTAGTGATATCAAATTGTTCTAGGAGGGTCTCGTCAAAACTTGTCACAGTTATTTATGAACTTCCAGCCCACGGAAAACAGCCCGATATCTTTTGTACCGCAACAGAAAGGATGGGCAGGTAATGAGATTCATTAGGGCCGATTCATGCAACCAGAGAAAACTGCAGTCACGCTATTATTTTCACTAGCATTCTGTTGAAAGGACTTTAAACTGTTGAAATGGCCTGACAGAGAAATATTAGCAGTTTTGAAACTGTTGTTGTGTAAAACCTACATATGCAGGAAGGTGGATTTTGCCCACTAGACAACTTCCCAAAAGTGTCCAAACTGTTCCAAAGATGTTATCTTGATGACTGGTCTATAATAAGTAGTATTTTCCCCTATTATTTGTTTCTTTTTTTTTTTTTTTATCCATTTCCTGTCAGGTCACAACTAGTTTTAATGTTGCTGCCCCAACATGAACAAAGTAAAAGTCTGCAAAAAATTGGGTGCAGTCTTGAAGGTAATGGAAAGGGGCGAGCTGTCCCAGGAGTGATTTAGAGCTCTAAGGAGATCCAGCTTAATTAACCAAGAGAGGCTTGTTCATGGAAACTGTGATGGGGAGGACATGGCCTTTCCCTGGAAGGAATGGGTGATGGTAGCCACACTATTATTAACTCGCAGACATGGGTTAACCTTAAGTGTGTCCTCTTGTCCTTCCCCTGCAGATGTGTTCACTTGAACAAGGATAAGTAATTATATCACGGACGTGCTGGGCTTTTTTTTTTTTTTAGATTTGGAACACACAAACATCTCTGAGAGTTTTTCTTTGTTCACGGTGTTTAGTCAGAAGTGACGTTGAGCCTGAAAAAGTGCGGCGCGGCAGAGGAAAGCGAAGCAGCATCTATTTAGAGTTAGTTAAATATTAACTTGTTTTATGGCTGCGAATGTGGAGACAAGTCCATGTGCCGGTGATGCATGAGTCCCTGAGAACATTGCGTACCGCGGGGCAGAGACAGGTGTTTAGGTGCAGTTGGCCCGAGCCGCTTTTCTTTTTTTTTTTTTTTTTTTTTTTTTTTTTTTTTTTACTGGCATTGATTTGGACAAAACAGATGAGGTTTATGGTGACACTCCATGTTTCCTGTTCTCCCAAGATTAGATTCTAATTTGGCCGTCCTGAGCAAACTAAAACGTGGGTAATTGCTTACGTTTGCGAACAAATATTTTCTTATGTAACACCTGACGGGTCTGACTTTTGGCGCACGGAAGTCGATGAGGCGTCGAGTCTGTATTTGCCTCGGTATTGCTGTCACGCATTTTGTGACTTGCTTCTCAACTGCTTCATTTAAAATGAAGCATTTGAAAAGCAGCCAGAAGCAAGACGTATTTGTGAAAAAGTTCTTATTGGTTATCAGGGATCAGCTTTTTACTCTACTAAGGTCATGATACTGTCTTTATTACGCTGTAAAGTTGATTCACCTGTGAAGCTTGCAGGTTAAGACAGTCGTGTGAGTTATTATCAGCCCTACAGAAGGTCTGTTTTCTTTTTCATTCAGGCGCCATGCAGACCCCTGAAGCAGGCGCTGACTCCACCTCCACTGTCCCTCTCCAGACCACCGTGCCTGTCCAGCCTACCAGCTCCACCCAGCAGGTGCCTGTTCAGCAGCAGCAGGTACGTCTCTGCTCGATTTGCACCTGCGCGCTTGCAAGTTCTTAGCAAAATTTTGCTGAGTAATTTCAAGCTTTTGCACCTTATTTCGCCAGGCGCAGACTGTTCAACAGGTTCAGCATGTTTACCCAGCACAGGTGCAGTATGTGGAGGAAAATAGTGGCGTCTACACCAACGGCAACATGTGAGTCGAGGTGTTTCCCAGCTCTGCTCTTGCACATCTTCGAAATTCAGCCTTTTTTGAATTCCCCCCTTTTTCCTTCTTTCAAATTTCTTCAAGTGATCATTCATGTCACAAGCACATGATGTTGCAGAGAAGCACAGTTGTCCTTTGTTTATCTCCTCTTTCTGGTTTTTCTTTCTTGAGGTTTACAGTCAGATGTCTTTTTTTGCATTCAGTTCCTTGAACATGACCACAAGTAGGCCAGTTTTTTTTTTTTTTTTGAAGTGACGATTCTATAAAAGGCTCCCCTGGGTCTGAAAAACAAGGTTACACACATAATCGACAAACAAGCCCAATCTGTGTTTTTCCTACTGTGATAAACGCTCACACATCGGCGTATGCACAAACACGGACAGACAGACTTCTGCCACCGATTGAAACATTTACGTAAGGGGAGCTGGTGGGGTGATGGGCAAGCAGCAAACTAATGTCAACATAATACAGGTTCTTGAAGCATGCGCTCCTTATATTGCATCCCCGTTTGAGAGATTCTGTCTGCTGCAGCTTACCAGAGACCTGCAGTCATGGAGAAATTATGTGAAACAGAACATCTGAATCAGTTTTTTTTTTATAGTTCTCTAAAACAATGTTACTGTCTTGCAAAAGTTGGAGAACTTTTTTTTTTTTTTAATCAAATAAAAATCTCAGAAGTGTGGCATGGATTTATTTTCTGCTCCTTATATGCTGACACCCTTGTATAAAATCCAGTGCATACAATTGTTTTGGGAAAACCTTAAGGAAGGGACTGTATAAAAAAAAAAAAAAAATCATGGAGAAACAGCAAAACATGTAGATGGCTGTGCTCTGGTCAGATTTTTGGACTGCAAACAGAATTGTATTGCTCGGTCATCCCAAGCACACAATCCCCACCATTAGGAATGGTAGTGGCAGCATCGTCATGTTGTTGGGAAACTTTTCTTGAAGCTATTTTAAAGAAAAGCATGTGGACAGCTTTTGTCCTGTCCACATCGAAAAGTAATGTTTTTTGTAAAACATGAGCTGTACTTAAGAGACAGTAATTTAAAGATTTAATTTTGAAAAACAAAATGACCTTTTGATTCTGCTTCCCTTGCCAATGCTTTGTTTGCTGCAACCAAAGCATAATCCAGACACAGTAAGGGCGATCGTATTTTTAGCCAATGCCCAAATGTGCCTAAATGCATATTATAAACGCTGACCTTTTATGCGACTCAGTCAGTACATCTATGCAAAGAAAGTCGGACATTAGCAGATAAACGGTCAATAACCAGGATATGAACTCACAGAAGTTGTGTTCATCATTCCTGAAAAGCCCGTCGTTTCCTAACAGCGTTGATGCTCTTTTGAATAGTCGTCATAACGATGTTATTTGTCTGACTGCCGACCTCTGTTTTGAACAGAAGAACCTACACGTATTCGGAGCCGCAGCTCTACAGCCAGAACAGTGGAGGGAGCTACTTCGACACGCAGGGCAGCTCATCGCAGGTGTCCACTGTGGTGACGTCTCATGGCATGACCAACAACGGAGGGGGGAGCACTGGAGGGATGAGCATGGGCATGGCAGGGGGTCAGGTAATCAGCAGCAGCTCTGGGGCCTACCTGATGGACAACGCCGGACCCCATCCTGCCACCCAGACGGCACGAGCCTCTCCGGCCACTGTAAGTGACACAGCACCTGGAGGAACGGGGCCTTCGCGTAAACATTTGTGTGTTTGGTTGTGCATGTGCGTTTTTACTTCTAAATAGTTATGTCTTTACAGCCACTTTCACATCTTCCTTGATTTTAAAATAAATCAATAAAACCTTTCTGCCCTCATCAGTTTAGACGCCATCTCCATTATTCTGCATCAGTGTTTGTTTTCTGATCCGGAGTAGTTTAACAGTCTTGGAAATGGCCCTTGATATTAAAACTTGCGTGCTCACGTATTCAGTAAACTACAAAGGCTGCATATAATGATCTAACTGCTGTAAACATTTTCCTAAAAACTTTATGTTTATTTTTAATTTGATCTATTTGGGGGTGGAGGGGAGTAGATGAGGCGCTGTGGCAGAATGATCAGAGAATCAGTCTTCAGATGCAAACACTCCTAATTAATGCTCTGTTCAGATACGATGGAGTACTCAACACAACAGCTACGCTCTGATTTGAGCCTAATTTGGATGCTTATGACTGAAGTTTCAGCACCACTTATGGAGAGTTGTTCAGAATCACCTTGATTTGCTCAAAACAAAAAAAAAAACAATCATCTAAACCTGGGGACACATTACACTTTTTTCACGGTTCTGACTGGAGTGAAAAGACTTGGAGTTTACTCTAGCAGACTGATTTCAGCAGATTTTTCTTTAAACGACCGAGACGCTCTTAACTGCACCGGATGAGGGATCACGGACTACAGGATTTAGAAAACTAACTGCGACAGATTAAGGGATAAGCAAACATATGTGGTGGTAATAAGACATCCTCGTATTTATAAAATACTTACTTGTTTATTTGAGAGCATTTTTACATTTGCTAAAAAAATGTAAAAAAAATAAAATAAATTCTTGACATAAAGGCACCTCATTAGTTCCTGCACCTTATTTTCTACTTAAATATTTGAGTGTCTCTCTATTTGTATTTCCTTTTTTTTTTTGTCATTAAGTAGTTGTACATGGTTATTTGATTCAGTTAGTCTCTACATTAAACATCAACAAAAGTTAATGATAAATTTATTGACGCTTTTATTAAAAAATAAATAAACCAAAAAGAAATGGCTCGCAGTTGATGCCCTTTCTTTTTTCATTGGTTGTTGGCAGCAGTTGTTCTGTTATCAGTTCCCAAGCTTTACTCGCATCAGCTCTGACCCATTTACACAACACTTGCGCCGCGTTAGGCATGGATAATCTTACTTACAACCAGTATACAAATTGTTGAACATAGCTTGGGTCAAACCTTAGCTGTTGTGTGTGTGTGTGTGTGTGTGTGTGTGTGTGTGTGTGTGTGTGTGTGTGTGTGTGTGTGCTTGATGAGTCTTTTGTTTAAGCATTTTAAAAGGATGGTACATGTTTTGAAGTGTTTTGGCTTTATGCATCAGGACAGGATAAATCTGATCTGGTCTTTTAACAGGTTCTAAAATGACTAAAGATCTAACTGGAAATGTGATATACTCTCAACAGGTTTCAGGCTTTTTATCATTTATTAAGCAAAGCAAAGGTGAGAATGCCTTGTGAGTGGAGAGAAGTGCATCTCCTGATTCTGTACCATATAAAACTACTTTTAGCAGTAACTGATTGGCAGCAACAATTGATTGCTGATTATTGCTGATCTCTTTCCTTCCTGGCAGTGTGGAAGCACAAACTTGATACACCAGCATTATTATTTTTACAAGTGCAATCGCTTTGCAACAACTAGCTTGTTACTTTGCCTTCTAGGTCCTGTGGAGCAGCATGTACAAGTTTATCTTCATTTTTCACTATGACTTTGTTTTTGCTTTGAGGATTTGGGGTGTTTTGTGTGTTTTGGACACATTCGGTTAGACTTGCATACTTTCAGAAACCGTCAAGACCAGATCATTTTTATGCCCTGATTCATAATCTCTAGATTTGAAAGTCGCTGTACTTTCTTTTTACAAACCCTCCAGCTGTCCTGTGGTTTGTTTATATTTCATTATGAAGGAAAAAAATGTTCAAGTGTCAAGTATTCCTGCTCTGCTTGGGGATTAGTGGTGCTTGCTTTGGGATCTTTACTAGGCTCTCTTTATTTATTTACTTATTCATTTATTTATTTATTTTTGCGTAATGCCAGTAAAGTGTTTGAATGAGCTCTTTAGTTTTCTTGCTTCAGTTTTGATTTCCTCCCCCTCTTACATTTTGTTGTCCTGTGCTTCGTGGTTTATCAGATTGAAATGGCGATTGAGACGCTCCAAAAATCTGAGGGTTTATCCAGTCAGAGAAGCTCGCTGCTCAACAGCCATGTAAGTTGCTTTCCTGAACGCACGCTCTTGCCTAACCTGAACTTTTGCAAGTCTCCCTCTTTCGCTGTTCTGCCCTTTTCTCATCTTTGTAGATCCACGTGTGTTGTGGTGCTCGCAGGTTTATGTTAGTGTTGCTTTTCAAGTCCATGGCTGCAATAGAAGCTTTTGCAAAGCTGCCATGGAGCAGCATCAAGTTTACAGAATGAAACCAGAAGTTTTTGGGGGTGGGGGGTTTGTGAAATGGTGTACAGAGGTGAGTTAAAAGGTACATCTTTTCCTCTTGTAGCTCCAATGGCTGCTGGACAACTACGAGACAGCAGAGGGAGTTAGTCTACCGCGGTCCACCCTCTACAATCATTACCTGCGGCACTGCCAGGAGCAGAAACTAGACCCTGTAAATGCAGCATCTTTTGGCAAACTCATTCGCTCCATCTTTATGGGACTCCGTACGAGGCGCCTCGGGACGAGGTCGGCTCTTTTTTTTTTTTTTTTTTTTTTTTTTTTTTTTTTTTTGTCTCGGTTTAATATTTCAGTTTGCGTCCTTTCAAGATTTCAGGTTTATTTTAAAACCTTCGCTGTACATCAACTTCTTCCGGTTTTGTTTTTGCAGAGGGAACTCAAAATACCATTACTACGGTATACGAGTGAAACCAGACTCGCCGCTCAACAGACTTCAAGAAGACATGCAGTACATGGCGCTCAGGCAGCAACCAGTTCAGCAGAAACAGAGGTAGGACCCATTCGTCCTGCAGCACCTGCTGTGATACAAATCATAGTGGTTAGAAATAATAAGCTTTGCCATGTGGTTTCAGGTTCAAGCCAGTGCAGAAGTTCGACAGTGGCTCCGGAGACAATTACACAAGCGGGGGGCAGCACCATCCTGGAGCGGCAGAGCAGACAGTCATTGCACAGAGCCAGCACCACCAGCAGTTTCTAGGTCAGCAGCTTTTCAACTAAGCTAAATCGCTGAATTGTTTTTTTTTTATTTTTTTTTAAGATAATTATGATCATCAGTCATAGGAACAAAAATTATCTGTCTAATTGCATTAAATTGGATTAGATACTTTACTTTCCCCGAGAGGGAAATTATTTTGTCACGGTACGTTTTACGACATCAGTCATCGTAAACAAAGCGAAACGTAATTTGCGATGTTTAAAATGGCACCTGACGTTCGAAATGTATAAAATAGAAACAAATGGGATATTTAACTCAACAAAAGCAGCGAGGGTGAACTTTTTCTTAGTTTTTCTTCACAGATAATGTGACTCTGTGGCTCATTTTGAGTCATGTAGTGCTTATACAATTTTTTTATTTATTTTTTTTCCCCAACAGATGCATCGCGGGCACTCCCTGACTTTATAGAGCTGGACCTGGGACAGAGCAGTATGGAGAACATCAGTCCAGAGGATGTGAAAGCTCTACAGTCCCTTTACAGAGAGCACTGTGAGGTGAGACGAAGGAGAGTCTTTGTTTTCTGTGAAAGGGTAGCAAATCATAACACCTTTCTTAAAGATGAGCAACCCACGAACAGGTCTGGGTTATTAATTTTAATAATCTTGCTTTAGTGGAGCCATTTAAATTATTTTCAAGGATTTTTTTTTATTCATTTTGCTGTCCTTTCTCTAAGTCTGTTTTCTATCATAAAGTTAACCTTATTGGTAAAAGCAGTTAATACTATAAATATCAAACATCTTTTAAACAATTGACTAATTAGGTCAAAAACTTAGTTTGTAGATATTTCTAGCTTAGTGGGTTTTTTTCTAACTAGTTTGATGTTTTGTGTCAGAACTCCCCTGATGTTCATCCCGTTTAGCTGAAAAAGCACTCCTATGAAGACATTTAAAAGTGTTTGTTTTCATAAGCTATAAAGTTTTTATTTAAAAAAAAAAAATAAAAAAAAAACTTTCTCGATGTGTTTCAGGCTATCTTGGATGTTGTTGTCAACCTCCAGTTCAGTCTAATAGAGAAGCTGTGGCAGACGTTCTGGCGTTATTCTCCTCCTGACACAGTAGAGGGCGCCACCGTAACAGAAAACAGGTGGGGACTGGCTCTTTGAGACGTGCCTTGCTGCATGGGTTTGCATTTATTTCAAGGTTAATCAGATTGTTTTAGAGGAATGACTTGTAACTGAGGTTTGCTCCGTTCTGCAGCAGCATAAGCGAGATTGAAGCACGGCTCCCTCGAGCACAGCTTTTGGCGCTGTGCAGGAACGAGGCCGTTCTTAAGTGGATGAGCACCTGTGACCATTTAATGTACCAGGCCCTCGTGGAGATCCTGATTCCTGATGTCCTGAGACCCATTCCCAGTGAGCCACAGTCACAGACACCTCTCAGATTTACCTGATGAAGCTGGTCATGTAGTAACTGTTGCGGTTCTTTTGCTCCCAGGTGCCTTGACTCAAGCCATTCGCAACTTTGCCAAAAGCCTGGAAGGTTGGCTTAGTAATGCCATGAATGCCATTCCACAGAGAATGATCCAGACCAAGGTGCACTTTGCTGTAATACTCATAGTAAATTTGTTAAATTTATACTTGAAGTTATTATTTGTCCATAACATGAGCTTCTTGTGTGCATTCGTGTCGCAGATTGCCGCTGTTAGTGCCTTTGCGCAAACGTTGCGCAGATATACATCGTTGAACCACCTGGCTCAGGCGGCACGTGCTGTGTTGCAGAACACATCCCAAATCAACCAGATGCTGAGTGATCTCAACCGTGTTGACTTTGCCAACGTACAGGTCCGAGCAGTCCCGAGCGCTCGTCTCCGTCACGCGTGTCTTTTCTAAACCCCCCCCAAATCCGGTTTGTTCCTCCTGCTGCTGTACAGGAGCAGGCGTCCTGGGTGTGCCAGTGCGAGGAGGGCGTGGTCCAGCACTTGGAGCAGGACTTCAAGGCCACCCTGCAGCAGCAGAGCTCTTTGGAGCAGTGGGCAGCCTGGCTGGACAACGTGGTCACCCAGGTGCTCAAGCCTTACGAGCACCGGCCCAGCTTCCCCAGGGCAGCCAGGCAGTTCCTGCTGAAGTGGTCCTTCTACAGGTCTGGGAAGGCCTCCAGCGTTCAGGCTCATTGAGGTTTTACAGCACTGAGACATTGAGCGTTAAGGTGTCTTCTTTTTTCTGTGTAGTTCTATGGTGATCAGAGACCTGACCCTGCGTAGTGCTGCCAGTTTCGGTTCCTTCCACCTGATCCGCCTCCTGTATGACGAGTACATGTTCTACCTTGTGGAACACCGGGTGGCTCAGGCTACTGGAGAGACGCCCATTGGAGTCATGGGCGAGGTACAGCTGCAGCATCTGCTCTCTTGTATTCTCTCTCCTAGGATTCTGTCTATTAATCTACCATTCTTGATATTAAATATCTGTTTTGGATACATCTTTACCAAGCGCTAATATCTTCTCTATTTATCGCTCTCTTATTTCAGTTTGACAACCTCCACACCTTATCCCTTGCTAGCATCGATAAAGGTAAGCCAAAAATAACTAGACAGCACAAAACAATGAACTCCACTTTATCATATACTTTGCTTATTGTTAACCGAAAAATGTCTGAAAACTTGATTGCACAGATTTAATTCAGCTAATTATGTTAAAACAAGAAATTCAAGGCTAAGAGAAAAAGAATACAGAGAATGCACAACTATAATAAACAGAAAGGCAAGCTGTGAATATTAGAATGAGATATATAGACCAAAATAATGTTACTTTTGAAGTCCTTGGACAATACATATTTTAGAAAGAGTCTTTGAAACAAGCAAAATGTAGCAAGAAATTGGATTCCTACATGTTTCCCATTTAAAAATGCCAGACTTTTCCAGACAGAAACCCCGTCAACACAAACATATTTAGCAAACCAGACGTGTTTTTCAGCATGCGGCCTCAGTTTTTATAGTTAAAAACTTGTGAAAATTTGGGTGTAGTGATGGACTCGGCACTGAACCTTCAAAGACACGTAAAGAGACAATTACAAAGTCAGTCTTCTGTCATCTGAAGAAGATTTCTACGGTGAAAGGATTAATTTCCCAGCAAGATCTTAAGATAAGAACATATGAAGATTTATCTTTAGTCACAGATTACTGCAAAAGTCAATCAGACAGCTGCAGCATGGGTTTTAATGTTTTCTGTAAACTTTGAAGTATTTGATCCAAGAATACAACGCTGAGGACTTTTTTTTTTTTTTTTTTTCTCTTTTGTCCATGTGCTACATTGCTCTGCCCAGACGAAACTAGCGGGATGGACAGTGACTTGGAAGAGGACACAGAGGACTCCGGAGAACCTCTCGCCAAGCGCGAGAAGCCGGAGCACGAGGTAATCCAAGTGATCCAGGTCGGGGCGCTGGAGGACGGGTCCCACCCTGTGGTGGGTGTCGTCCAGCACAGTGTTCTCCACTCGCTGCAGCAGCCCCTGCAGGACCACACCGAACACATCCTAACGCCCTCTGCTGGGACTCCCACCATCCGCCACTGCAGCACCACAGGCAACACGTATGCCTCCGTTTGAGGGTCAAAGGGCACAGCTTCACCTTGTCTGCCTAGTTTTACCGTCCCACTCTCCACGTCTCTCTCTCCCTCTTTACGTCTAGATGTCTGCATCTTTTTACATGCGTTGTCTCTGTTTGCGCTCTGCCCCGCGTAGCGGGTGGAGGAGTGACACTCCGGCCAGGATGTGCTCTGTCCTTGTCTGTTTGGATTCTGGATGTGTAGTCGCCTTGTTTCAGTCTGTGGAAGGGACCTGGAGGAAAAGGGACTCGAGTGCGCCGTTAAATGTTTCCTCTTCAGACGCGACTTAAGGCTTCCGTCTGTCCATGCGGACGGGTTTTATCCCTTCAAACTGCTGATGTCTCAGAGCTCAAATCCACGTCACTAGTCCCAGTAGAGCAAAACGCATCGAATCACTCAAAATCTCCACCTGTTGTACATAGTTTTGCTGTTCTTTTTTCGATCGACACTACTCCAAACTCATGGTGCTATCATTGTGGTTTGTTTTTCATGGAATTTCTTTGTCTTTTCTGATTTCTGTCAACAACGCTGATAGACTTCCGATTGAGCGAGACGTTTCTGAGTATTGTATGTAGCTAGACAACAAAGGGTCAGATTCTAGAAATGATGGGGAAACTTCGGTTTGACAGTTGTATGGTAGCCACTTGCACAAAAACACTTGCATCTTTTAGTGATATTAGAAGTAAAAGAAAAAAAAAACCTGTACTGCTGCTTTTGTGTATACAGATGAGATTCGGGATGAAATGGGGAGGGGGGAAGTTTTTTTTTTATGCACCGCGTGCATAGTGCTTGCCTTTTAGATGCCTCGTAATGTGGTTTACGTGACGTGATCTTGAAAGACTCTTGGCAGCCGTTTTCCCTGCTTTTACAAGTTTCTTCTCACTTCATGAAATTCCTTACGTTTGCAGTGGACCAAAAAATTCAACCAACAGAGGAGGCTAAGCGCGAGTCTCTCGATGCCACACACGGATGCTGTTCCCTGTCCCCGCAGTGCCATGTCGCGACGCAGAATTAAAAAAAAAAAAAAACTAAAAATGGGAAAGAAAAAAAAAATCTATATAGAATGTCAGGGATTTAATGTACCTCGGCTTTATCATAGTGCCTTATCCTTAAATGCAGCTCGTCCGCGTAGTCCTGACCTGAGGTTGCCCAGCCGCAGATTTGGTTTCTGGTGACTCGTGGCTGGATTTGGGCTGGCTCATCAGTTCTTTGTTGTTGTTTTTGTTTATTTGTTTTCTTCTGAACCTATCTGAGTCACAGTCACAGTCTTAGCCTTGTCCTGCCCTCGCTCTGCCTTCTTGAGGCCTATTTCTCGCATTTAGCCTTTGTCATCGGATGAAGTGAGCGTGTGTTTTGCGTGGGTGTGTCTTTTGACTTTTTCTTGGGTCTGCGCTGTGCTTTTTATGTGCTCATACGCCCTTCATCTTGTGTGCTTGTGTGTGTGTGCGTGCGTGTGTGTATGTGTTGGGAACACATCCATCAGTCACCCTACCTCAAACCGGTGGTGCCAACCCTTTGATGCGTGCAGCACAGTCACCAAACCTTAATGCACACACACCACTGTACTGCACAAATCTCAACACGAAGAGAAAACCTGCATTGCTTTTCTCTCACCTCTGATGTACTTTGATTTCAGTTTTTAGCCCATAAAATGCTTAACCCTTTGTTCCCTGTTTAGAGACCATCTTTGTACAGTGGACCAAAAGTAGATATTTTCTAATATTCAGAGATATAAATATATATATATAGAGATATATATATATATGTATAGTATATAAAATGATGATACACTACATATATTTGTTGCTTTTTACGTGTTTGATCCGATTGTTAAGACGTGAATGTTTCTTTTGGTAGCTCATCTGTAATTACTCCATTGACTGTGAAATATGAACAGCTTGGGAACTGCAGCGCCTTGCCAAAGTATCCTCGCCTCCTTTCACATTTTGAAACCGTACTACGGCAAACTTCACTTTGTTTTCTGTCTGGAGCTCTCCAAAACCTAAACTGGTGCATAATTGTAGATGGGTTGGAGTTTACACATCTGAAAAGTGTGGCCTGCATTGTTGTCCTGCTGATTTGTCTTTTGCTGCATGTAGAGCTGCATGTCTGTTGGGTTTTCCTCTACCAGCTCTGACAATCTTAAGACTGGATTTTCGGCCCATTCTTCTTCGCAGGTGGTTTCACACCTGTAGCTCGTTTACTTTGGTCAAAATCACTTGATGAGTTTAACTTTTAGGAAAAAAAAACAACAACTCTAAACCTACATTCAGTCTGTTTATTGGTTGCATGTGTTTAACCTAAATGCAAGTACAGGAAGCAGTCACTGTGTTCTGAGCTGGTAGGAATCATTAGTGTGTTTCTGGCTACTGTTTCATGCAAGAATTATCTGAGCAGTATGCAGAATGCTTTTGAATGTTGCATGGCGGCTTTTATGCTTTACAAAAAAGACTTGTGGGGTTTTTTTTGTTAGCTTGTTTACTTTGCAGCGTCCCATAATGCAAACCTGACTATGAGAAGGCGTTTGGCTCAAAGTTGCAGCCCACACATGGTGGCTGTGTCAAATCCCATTCACACCGTAAACGAACCGCCACATCTACCACAACTGGACCAGAGTTCGCCTTTAGACAAGCTCACGCATCAGTTGCAGGATATCATTGAGGGGTATCAGGGTGAACACACACACACTCCAGATTTCTGTTGATTTTTTTATATCATTTTCTTCCTACTTCAGTTATGCACCAGTTTGTTTTAGTGGATTACATAAAATCCCAAATACATATGAAGAAGTTTGTGTTTGTAATCCGACAAAATGTGGAATTGGTGTGAGAGGCATAAATACTTTAGCCAGGCATTGTATTGTAACCTTTGAATCCTTAGACTACAACTATACTTGAACTGTTTTAGCCTTCTACGTTGTGGGGAATATTGAGATTAACCTCTATGTGGAATTTTTTTGTTTTTGTTGCTACACACATTTTTGCCGGGTTTTTTTTTTTTTTTTTTTTTTATGCTCGTCTGTAACATTTCTCCACAAAATGTTTATTTATTGAATTGATATTTATTGCATTTCTGTTTAAAGTGCTTATGGGTACGATGTAATGGCATCTGATGATAAATCAGAAATTATCCCACTGCAAAGTGCAAACCTACTGTACAGAAAGAGCAGAAAGTTGGTTGTTTTGTTTTATTCTTTGTATTCTCTGTAGGCTGAATATTTGTGTTAAAGAAAAGGGGGAGTAGTAGCACTGTATTTGCTGTAATTACAAACCTTTGTCTTGCTAACAGTGCACAGGTGGCTTGACTTTTTTTTTTTGTTGTTCAACTTAGATGGGCCTCAATATTGAATAGGGTGGGAAAGTGCAAATACATTGTGTGATTTACGTTAGCGAGTCAGCGGACTCGACGGTGTTGTTCGTTTGTTGGGGGGAGTTTTGAAAAGGAAGCCAGGTTCTCGCTCTGATCGTGCTGTCTTGAAATATTTGACCAGATCTAGAAACTGTCCACACTTAGATCTGGCTTTCTAGTTTTATTTGTTGGGAATTGTTAAAAGTCTCAAAAAGATAAATGAACTATGCTTTGAAGGCCTTTTCTTTTTTCTTTCTTTCTAACCTTTTTTTGTACCCACTTTATTCTTAAAAAAAAAAAACTGTTCAAGTTCAGGCAATAAGTGGAGACTGTGGCTTAAAACATGAGAAAATGAAAAAACTGTAATGGTTCATCTCCACATTCTCTCAACTTGATGAATTAAAGAATACTACTCTATTTAAAACTTTTAAAAAGGCCCTCAATCTTGGTTTAAGTTATAAAAACCTTATTGTGTCTCCGACATGGTTACAGTTCTTCTTTTGCTGTTCTTGAATTAATCTCAGCTTCCTTGTCATATATTTTTACCAAACAATGTGGATCGTGATTTTTATATTTAGTGCCTGAACGGTGTTTGTTTGTTTTTTGTTTCGATCTCAGTTGTGTGCTCTTTAAATTTGAAGTGCTTTCTGGTTGGGTTCAGCTGCTGGATATGCTGTTCTCACCAATCTAACCATCTCACCCCCCCCACACCCTTATTTCATTTTCAATCAGATTACAGGTGCATCTAAAAAAACATTTCAACATTATTGAAAAATGTCTTTTTTTATTTATTAAATGCAACAAAAAAAATTAAAACTCATAGATTCATCAAACACTGAGATATTTCAAGCATTTATTTCTGTTAATTTTCACGTTTTTATCTTACGGCTAATAAAAACAGAAAAATGCTGATTTCTCAGAGATCCTCCCTAGATTCTCTGTGGGATCCAGGCCAGGTCCGTCTGCTGACCAATCGAGGGCAGTGATGCCCTCGATTGGCACCTGCCCATTAAAGCAGGTGTTAAAACGTTTGGCAGTGCGGGCAGGAACAAAATTCTCCTGGAAAATAGACTCTAGATCTCCATTAGGCTCTTCGACTTTGGACTTTAAAAAAAAAAAAAAAAAAAAGGATATGGCTCCTCAAATAATCACTGGAAACGTTACACTGAACTTCAATTTCAAAGTGACATTTAAAGTTTACTTATTTCCTTTCCTAAAACAGGGCTTTTTAACCGCTGATGGCTTTGGAATGTGAGAGTTGTAGCCTGTTGTGTACCTTCTACTACACTTTTTTCTTCCACTTAACTTTTCCACTTAGCTTAGTTACTCCACTCAGAAAAGGCCAGATTCTTCATGTGGTCTTCACCGTGATTTTGGAAGCCATCGTTTAACATTTCTATATTTAAATTTCTTTCTTAAAACAATTGATCTTTATGTACTATTTGAAATTACACAGAAACTGAATTTTGTGTTTTACTTTGGCTGTAAGATATCACCGGAATTAATGGAAACACAATGCATCATGTCTTGTCTATGCTTAAATAAACCTTTTTTGTTATTATTTTAATTTGTTAAAAATGCACCTGTATAGTTCTTGAACTGAAACCTGCCTGATGTTATTGCTGCCAGTGGTATAGTGTTTGATTTGTCGTTAGGAAAAAAAACAAACAATCCGGTTCCAAATCCCTAAGTTTGAATAGAAATCCAGTAGAATCTCCTCCACATGAACGAAATAACAGCTTCACTGAACCACAGAAAACTCCGGTGCCTTTCATTTCGCCCCAGCTGCAGCAGATGGCCTCGGTGGTCACTGGGTCCGAGGTTGGCCAGACTTGGTCTAAACAGCAGTCATCACACTGGACAGGGGCTGCCAATTTTAAAAAAAAAAAAAAAAAAAAAACTGCAAAAGCATTATGAACCTACAAACTTTGTTGATGTATAGAAGTGTTAAAAGCACCAGGAGCGTTCCCGTTTAGTACAAAAAAAAAAAAGGAAAAAAAAAAAAACTCCTCAGACATGTTTTCTTCTGATTGTGATTTCTTCTTTGTCCAATGATATTTTCTGAATGCTGTGACCTGTTTTTTGAGATTCGTTAGGTGCCATTTGACAGTCTGGTGAGTCGTGGCCATCTGTAGCACGCTGCCCGATGCCGGGACAAGCGTCGAGCGGCGGCATTTGGAGAAGCCTTTTAATTCACCAAAATGTGTATATCAAACTAAAAAGAGAAGTTCTATTTATTTGTTTCCTAATTATTTGTTTATTTAGTGAATATTTTATCGGATATGTTGACTTTAGTGCTTTTCGTGATTTCTTTCTCACCCTTTTTGGATAATGTAACAGTACCTGATATAATATATACAAACTTCACGTGACTTTCTTTTTCCTGTGTTGAGTTTGCTCCATACATGTATATTCTCAAATTGGCAAGCGAACCGACGCGTGTTGTGTATTTTACAGGAAAAAAAAAAAAAAAAAACGAGGACAATTGGGGGACTTTTATATCTACAAGGACGTTATCATTTAGTGTGTCGTATTGATGATGATAGAAACTATTAAAGACACGTAGTTTTGTTTTCTGAATATTTCAGATCTCAGCTCAGGCTAGCTTCTTAGTGTTGGTTTCCTTAAAAATTTGTGATTTGTCTTTGCAGTAAATAAACGTTTTCTTGTTCACCCGTTGTCCCGCCTCGTAACTAAACGCGTATTGTCTGGTTGGCCCGTTAGTTTTTATTCGTACATATAACCACCAGTGTCGTTCAAACTCCACATATTCAGCTTTTATTATATCATTGTGAAGATGAGCATGAAGTAGTGTTTTCTGGAAGTTTTACAGCGTTCAACTTGTGTTTTTATATATATATATATTGCTCAAAAAAATAAAGGGAACATTTCACTTTAATTTTGTGTGTGGCTCCAAATCCAGGCCTCCATTGGTTAATAAATTTGATTTCCATTGATTTTTGTGTGATTTTGTCAGCACATTCAACTTTGTACAGAACAAAGTATTCAATGAGAATATTTCATTCATTCAGATCTAGGATGTGTTATTTGAGTGTTCCCTTTATTTTTTTGAGCAGTGTGTGTATATATATATATACATATACACACACATACATTTATAATGACCAGAATTATAACTGTAAAGGTAGCAAAAGTGTATAAAATACTGCCATATGTGTTGGTTAACAGAGATCTGAATACGTGGTGATCATGAGGAGCAAAACAAACCAGAAAACTAAACTTTTAATGAGCAAAGTAATACTGAAACCACCTCAGTCTGGTCATCTCACAAGAACCTCCAAATGTATATTTGGCATCATTATGGCTTACACTTCCTCGCAGTTCCTTTAACACTTTTCCAGCTGCTGTTTAGATAAGTCTATTACCCAAGTCTGTCAGTAATTCCAGCCACTCTGATGCTGTTTAACCACTCAAACCACTTTCAGCATAAAAGACTTGATAATTTTTTTGGGGGGGCCAACAGCATTTTTTTTTCCTTTTCTACAGAACACAGTAAGAAAAATATCAGCTATGCTAAGAATATATGGATACAGCTGAGTAAACACAAATGAAACTGATAAAGTGCTAATGGACACCTAACCAAAACTTGGTACTTCTGTTGGTTTGTAAATATTTTCAGTACTAATAAGAGGAAAACAAAATAAAAAAATAAAAAAAACAAAAAAAAAAATCAAGGTTCAAAACATTTTGTGGTAACAGTTCTGAATGGTGATTAAAAAAAATACAAAAATGGAGCTGAAAGATTCTGAGCTCTAACTGGGATTTCTGTGTGTTTTTTTTAACTATTTAAAAGAATATAAACTTATCACTGAAATCTTTTTTTTTTTCCTTTTAAAGATTACAAGAGAATGAGTAACATACAGTTTTCCATACAGGCCCTGATCTGAGAGGGAGAAAAAGACTTTCTGGTTAGAAAGTCTTTTCAGCCCAACATACCAGCAGTATACTCAAACTACAAATACATTCAGGACAAACAGACGAGAAATTACAGTAAACGGATTATTAAGGATATTTTATGATTGTAGAAACATTTTTATTATTATTGTTTTGGATAAAGACTTTGCTTTACACAATGTTAACAGAGGGACGACACTTTAATTCGCATGATGCTGGTAAAATGTTTTCAAAAAATACTGTGATGTGCTCAATCAGCAGCGTCCTGAAATTTAGTGATTATAATGCTGACTGTGTGATTTCCAGTTTGGAGTATACCGCCGGCCTTTAGGTCCTTTCTTCAACTACGACCTATACAACATTCATATGATTGCAATCCTCCTTTAGCACTCCAAGTCTACAGATGGAGTGGTCAGTCACGAGTATTTTTTTTAAATGTATTTTTTTTTTTTTTTTACATTTTCTATTGATTCCCCCGCCCCTCTTCCATTTGTATTTTCATTTTTGTACAGTTTGTTGAATGTTACTTCAATCAAGAGGTTGAGGGTCAGCTATGGGCATGGTGTGCAGAACTTCGTCAAGAAGCTGCAGAGCTCGGTGTAGATGGATTTCGATCCAGCAGGGGGTCTCCTTGATGCTTTGCCGCGGGTAGTCGGGCCCCCAGCCTTTCACGAAGCTCATGCGCAGAATGCACAGCCTACGCAGGTCGTCCACGCCGATTCCCGCCGCTGCAGACAAACCTGAGTGGACAGAGCAGACGGCTTCATCACTGTGAGGCAGAACGGCACACAAACTCACTTCTCTGCTTGGAACGAGCTAAGGCTTCGACGTGCATTTTGACAAAGTTAAAAACAGTTTTTGTGTGTGGCATGAGAATGTAAAAAAAAAAATGTATTTATATAAATTTACTGAAACTGGCATCAGTAAAAACCTTAAGAAGTGAGAATGTTAAAATGGTCAAACAAATGGCTGTTTCTACTCTGAAAAAAATGTCTACCCACTTACAAATTTCATCCATTCCTGCAGCTTTATCAAATAATTCAGGCGATCAAAAAGTGTTGATGTTTAATGCTTGTTCACTTTTACAAAGCCAAAAGTTTAAGGATTTATATGGGCTAGTGGCTCCATTAATATCCTATATCAGCCCAAATTTTCATATAGGTGCATCTGAAACAAATACTCAGGAAATGTAAGTAAACTTCTTATTTTGGAGACATAAAAAATTAATTTCCATTATTGTGTCATATATCAAATGGAAATACAAACACGAGAAGTTTGGTCTGATTTAACTTCAGACGGTAAGAGACAAAAAAAAAAAATGGTGGATTTGTCTTTTATTCTGTGTATGCAAACTTCTGGTTCCATCTTCATATGGAGCCTTGATGTGCGTTTATGTGTTCTAGATGATTAGATGCTTCAAATTAAGATATCCAAAACTTGTGATAAGTCATAATGACGCTAAACCCTTAAAGGCTAAAATGCCTGCTCCTTTATTCCGTCTGGTTTTTCCCTCTCCTGCGCTATAATTTACTTGGTCGCAGTGCTTTGAGAAAGGCCCTGGTACTACTTAAGGCTCAACCCCCCACAGGTGGGGATAATGACAAGCAATCATAGCAATACACTTGTTGGAGGCCAAGTGCAGCATTAGGAGCACTCACTGATGGCAGGGGCGATGCCTCCCACTGAGCCCGGCCCCGGGATGTTCCCAGCCACGGCTGCCGCCTGTGCTGCAGCTGCTGCCTGCGCCGTCGCCGCCTGCTGCTGCATCTGCCTGTGGCACTGGCGCAGGTCGAACACCTGTCAACATTCAAAGACGCAACATCTGTCTGAGCAAAGCGGTTCTCGATTAAACAGGGAGGAAAAGATGAACCTGCAGCAGGAAAAGTCAAACTCTAAGCTGTAATTTTTCTACATTCATAATCAATTAGGACTTAAATGCATTGATTAGGCCTGTCACGATAACAAATTTTGCTGAGCGATTGTCTAAAAAAATTATTGCGATAAACGATAATATTGTTTCAAGACCTTTTGACACTGATTTAATGAAAATTACATAATATTGCATGCGATTTCCTGCCATATATGGATGCACTTTATTTTCAAAATAACACTGGAACTGATAAACAACCAAAAACAAACAAATTGATTCTCAATCTCCATTAACAAAAAACGAACTTGAATAAAAACTAAACAACATAAAGCCAAAGTAGAACTAAATACTGCATTCAACCAAAAGAGTGCAGATTATGAAGTCTGTATACTATATTGGCCTTCAGTAATCACTAGATTCACTAGATTTAAATAGAGAAGATGGGCACATCCGACCACCTAATGCAGTAGTTCACACTACACGACTTGTTGCCCCTATTTTCCCCTTACAACAGTCTTAGAACGTTGGGTGTTCCAAGATGGTCACTGGTGATTTCGTAACCGACCATCCTGCAGTGTGTGGTGGATTACGGTGGATCATCGTGGCCGCTCTGATCTAAATCAGGGGTTTTCCCCGACTGGGAGCTTAACCTGAATGTGACAGGTAGCCAATCAGAAAGCCGGATTCTCCTCCTGCTTTCTGAGGGGAAATTACGGAGGGGAATCCCAACATCGGAGATGATATGTGGAAACAACATTAATGTTTATTCAACATTTCCTGCAAAGAATATAGAAATGACAAGGAGAGGAGTTGGAGCCAAATTGCTGCCGCAGCTGATAAACCCGGTAAGTTTTCAGCTGTTCTTCGTTAACGTGACATAAATAGGTTATAATGATTTTCATTCAGTCAGGACTTTACGCTGACTCTAGCCACATGCATCACAGGTAGATTCTAGTAAAGCATTGACTAATGCCTAGTTTTAAAATGAATTAACTGGACTTGTAGCCATTATTTTGTGCCCATGTGGCTGGACACCACACGGCACGATGAACCCGATTGAACCGTTATATCTAGGATTTCTGTCAGGTTTTGAAAATGGGCCGACAGTCCGCCAAAAACTCGTGTCGTGTGCACTGGACATTATACTAAGGAAATGAGGAAGGGAGGGTCAGTGGAGAGCTTTTTTGACCCTTTTTTCATT